AAAAAGTTATAGCCATTTAAAAAATTGAAACACTTCGTGTAACTGTTGAGTATAGACTTCCTGCACCATATATATATCATAAAAAAATCACTTTATATTAAAAATCGGGCGTTACTTTTGCCGATGACTATACAATTTTGTAATTTTGTTGAGTCTATTTATGCCGGAATAATAACTTAACCGAATCGACCGAAAAACCATTCGGTCAATTTTTATCAGGTTTATGAAAATATCTGTAAAATCCCGAATAAAAAATTAAATAGAGGTAGCTGGTGATAAAATTAAGCAATTATATAAATAAGTATATGTTTTAAAAAAAAATTGAAATTAAGGCTGGTCCCAAGAGGCGTGCACTTTATGGAGTTTTGTGACTGTAATATATTTAATATTTTGTAAAGCTTCATTACAACTTTCAATTACTTTTCAAAAAGATTATTGTCCTTTATTAGTGTGTTAAAATTCCGTGATAACCTAAGCAACTCGTGACGTAATCCAGTGTTTATTTATGCTTTGTTAGACAATTTTACATATGACGTAATAACATTTTTTGGATTCAAAAATAATTACCCATATCGATATTGTAAATACACATGCCCATTTAACGTAAAATTTTAAAGAACAATGTTCTAATCATTTTTTATTTCAGCTATAATGGGAAAAAATCATTAGACAATTCATGGTATATATCTATGTATACCGGAAAGCAATGAGTCATAACGGTCGATCCTACATCATCAATAATTTTTGATACAAAAAACGGTTACGGTACAAATTATATCCATTATATTACCGGTCCGGGGTTTATCCTGTTGACAAATGAAAAAAAATAAATAGTCAAGCAACATCCTCATTTTTTTTTATTAACAAAAAAATGACTACAAACTCAGATTCATTATTATTAGATACCAAACCCTTAGCTCCTGTACCTATTCCGCCTGCACCGTTAGTATTTGTTTTAATAACTGATTTATTTTTGATATGGTAAAACACTGGTAAAACATAGAATACTGACAGTTTAAATTCCAACCCTCAATAGATCTCCAAATGGTCGTTTCGCCTCTATCAAGCATTGGTATTCACGTTCTGAACGTACTTCAGAAGCCTCCGAAGCACGTCTTCTATCAAGACTTCAATTCTTTTCAATCGGAGGAAAGACCGTTGCCTCTCCTAAAGATTCAAAAACTGTCGCTCGTATAGGTTTGGTCGATTTGGACGGTGATGGTAAAAAAATGATAAATACTTTAGTAATCGATCAAGACGGCAATGATTTCGCTATTGAAAATGGAAATGTCGCTCAATCAAAAGAACAGCCTTTGACTACTAATGAGCTTGGTTATTCTCCTATATCACAAACTCAACTTTCTGTTCAATCGAATGTTACTACTATCAATGATAAACCATCATCATCAACAAAAAATCTCGTATTATGTCATGGCTATGGTGCTGGTCTTGGTTTCTTTTACAGGAACTATCATGATCTTAGTCAGGTTCCAGGGTGGAGAATTTATAGTTTTGATTGGTTAGGTATGGGCAGAAGTTCTCGTCCGAAATTTACTATAAAATCACATACTTTTGATGAATCTATCGAGGAAACTGAAAATTTTTTTGTCGATTCTCTTGAAAAATGGCGTCAATTGCATAACATTGAGAAAATGACATTGTTAGGACATAGGTACATATTTCAAGTTTATCATATGTTAAATAAAAATAATAATAATTATTTATATATTATTAACAATTTCATAGTTTGGGTGGTTATTTTGCTGCTGTGTATGCATTAAAGTATCCTGATCGCGTGGAGCGTTTAATACTAGTTTCTCCTGTCGGAATTCCCGAAAACCCTAATGGCACAGAAACCTTAAAAAATCTTGTTGGTCGCACTATGTCTAATATTATAATTAAGTTATGGGATTCTGATATTACACCACAACTGATTATGAGATGGGCTGGTCCTTTTGGTCCTTCGTTGGTCAATAGATATACGACTCGTCGATTTTCACATCTTGATGAGCAAGATCGATTTGATTTGCATGATTATCTTTATCACATATCTTCCGCACCCGGAAGCGGTGAATTTGCTTTATCAAGGATTCTTGCTCCAGGTGCTTTTGCGCGAAAACCATTGATTAATCGTTTGCCAAATTTGAAAATGCCAGCTACTTTTATGTGTAAGTTACCTTTGACGTAATATTTAGAGAGGATAGCTTATGAAATCTGGACATTATTAGACTTTGACTACATTGTATGATGCGACTGATCATATTACACGACTAAGAGTCTGGTTTTTATAAGCTTCCTTCTTTCATGAATAATCACTTTTCACTCACTTTTATAATCCTTATATACATATCCAGATGGAGAATATGATTGGATGGATTACCGTCCCGCAGTAGAAGCCGGAAATAATATGAAAGTCCCGACAAAAGTCCTTAGAATCCCAGACGCTGGTCATCACTTGTACCTTGATAATCCTATTGAGTTTAATAAAGCTGTGGTTAAAGAAATGCTAGAAACGTTAGACGTATAACAATAGTTTAATTAGAAAAAATTAGTGTAATCAATAATTTGGAATAGAACAATATTTTCAGCATGTATTTAAAACTTCAAGTTGTGTCTTAATTATTCTTGCGCATGTTTATTCAATTAGCATTCAGCATTTATAAATTTACTCGAACTATTAAATTCTTCACTATAACTTGCAACTAATCATGGACATATCACAACACAAAAGAAGTCAGGAGGAAATGAACTAATTGGATATGAATATTGCAAAGTGAAAACCTGTAACTGATCAGAGTAAATCATTGAATACAGTTACAGGTCTCACTTTGCAACGCTTATATATATATTGTATTAAATGAATTATATTCTTATAGCGAAAAGTACCAAATAAAGAATTAAATCCAAATTTTCATATCTAGGAAATTTATCTGGCACCATAAACTTGAAATCGGATGATCCGGCTGCAAACGAATTTGGACAACGATAGCGAGCTAGAATCGTGATTTGCTAGTTTTCTTTTCAATTTATTCGAGGGTTTTATCTTAATTATTTTTAACTACCTTGCCGGTAGGATTCTCCGTTAATAGTGATAACATGAGCACTCACTATTTAGGAGTAACTTTATTTAATAACCCTACTTGCAGGTAGAGGTAAGTAGAGGTCCGATCCACTTTCCTATTACCATCAATCTTTGGTTCACCCACATCATTATTATTCAACCCAAATGAAGCGATTTCGTTAATCTGATTTTGAATAGGGAATCATTAGAGAACTTATTAATCCAAGATTAAGTAGAATCCCAAATAGTGTTCATTAGGTTTCGTAAAGTGTCTCTAATTTGCCGTAATGTCAAACACTTTTGACATTTAATTATATTACGGTCAATAATCCTAAATTTTTCTTGATTAAAACGCAATAGCTACGGAGTTAGGAAATCTGGTTCGTATTAGTGACCCGAACTAATTTGACCATATAACCAGTTGATAGCTTGTTAGTTGATACATTTCGTTGGTAAGGAGAGTATCTTTATCAGAAGAGTTCTTATCAGCGAAAATTTCGATTTGTACTGGATTGAATGAATGTTATGATGCGGTTGAACTTTAAATACAATCTTTATTCTCTATATCACCACCTTTATAATCACAACTCCTATATAATCACATAAAATTTTAATTTCCTTTATATAGTTACAATCACTATCTCACTTTTTTTTTTTAATGTTAAGGTGAGACACTATCTCACTTCTTAAAAAATTTTATTAGTAAAAATATTATACAATCACGAGGTTAATAATTATTACCTACAAAAGCCAAAATTTTACTAAGCTAATCGATCTTTATGGATTAACAAAAGTTGTTAAGCATGGTGAAATACATACAGTATATCCTGAAATTTGGCCAATATTTTATTAATTTACTTTTTTATTTTACATTTTGGCTACGTAGCATTTCGAGTTGGTAAAAATTTTGCTAATCGATTAGTTGCCAACTATAGTTGCTATTTTTCATATTACATAATCTTATTAGGTGATTAGCCAATCAAATCAAATATTTTAACACAAAACAGCCTGATTAGATGAAATATAGAAACTGTACCAGTTTGATGATTAATTAATTAGTTGTTTAAATTTTTTTAAATTAATTAGTTGTAAAGTTGTCAACTAATTGATTTTTTAACTAACAATTTGGATCATTAGTTTTGGTACAGAAAAATTATTTTTCTGCATTAAAATGGAAAATTTTAAAGTATATGTATTTTATTATACTAAACAAAAAGTAAATTAATAAAATATTAGTTAAAATTCATGAAAATTTTAAAGTATATACAGTACAGTTAGGAGTTTTTCAAAATTGTGTAATGCAGATCATTTCGATTTATGGTAAAAGATCTGCAATTAGAATATTC